TGATGATGGTTAAAAATTGGTCGAAACACACATAAATCACCTTGTATAATACATGGTTGAATTCAGAATAAAAAAAACTTTCAGAATCTGTGAAAAAATGATCAGGACCGTATTTGAAAAACAAAAGTTGATGATGGTTCTACGAATACGAAACGTCGCATAGAAAAATCGGTATAACCACGTTAACTGTCATCAAAAGTTGCTATGAAGAAGTATTTTCAGTTTTTCTGTATCTCTAATAATAACGGAGAAAAAAAAATAGATATTCCAAAAATTCACTTTTTCCGATATAACTAAAAAACTAAAAATAATTTTAAAAATTTTCGAAGGCTCTTGATATGAGCTTCCGAATGCGCAACTTTTTCCTCATTTAACCGACTTCGTATCTCCTACCGTCTTCGAGATCCCCATGCTGTTCAACCTCATCTTGGACAGACTGTATATTATTATGTACAGGGTGTTTCTTAAGTACGTGTAGAAAATCCGGGAGAATGTTGCTGACGTCAAAAGAAGGAGAAAAGTTCATATAAATATATGTCCGAAAACTATTCGTTTCTGAGATACAGAGTGTCAAAGTTGAATTCTTATTTTTGTGTTTTGTTGATTAATTTCAAAATAATCGTGATATTTGACTGAAGTTTGGTATCTAGGGGCATTTTTCAATGACAATATCAAATTTCATGTTAGTTTGTCTCTTTCGTGGGGGTGGCGCCACCTACATGTCTTTTGAGTATTTTGAGAAGTCATAACTTTTTTGTGCGTATACCTGTATCACGTTTTATAGTAGAGAATAGATCACTAGAACACTTTTGAGTGAAAAATATATTCTTGGTAGATGTCATTGTACGAGCAACTGTTTTCGAGTTATTGGGATTTGAAATAATCGATGCATTTGACTTATTTCCATGGGGCTCGTAAGTCGCCTCTGAGTAGTGAATATCAGAAAAGATACGCCAGTTAATGTTTCTTCTTTCATTCAATATTCTCCTTCAAGAAGATTCTTACTTCTTTGTTCCTACTTTTTTGGCCACTTTGAACAATTACTTCAATCAATTCCCTCAACTAACTCTTTTAGTATCAATTTGGCCTCAATTACTGTTATTATTATTATAGTATTAAATTGTAATAACATCCGATTCCTATTTGATAATGAAATTAAAAAAAAAAAAAAAAATTCCTTACTTGATAAATCAATTTTTAATACCAACTTCTTGTCATTTCAAATTACTTGCATTGATTATTTCAAATCCCAATAACTCGAAAACAGTTGCTCGCAGCGCCCTTTACCAGGAATATGTTTTCCAAACTATAAATCGTAATTCGGGTATGCACAAAAAAGTTATGACTTTTCAAAAGACTCAAAAGACATGTAGGTGGCGCCACACCCACGGAAGAGACAAACTAACAGATGATTTGATATTGTCATCAAAAAATACCCCGAGATACCAAACTCCATTCAAGTATCACAATTATTTTGAAATTCATCAACAAAAAACAAAAATAAGAATTTAACTTTGACACTCTTCATCTCAGAAACGAATAACTTTCGGACATATATTTATGCAAACTTTTATTTTTATTTTGACGTCAGCAACATGCTCCTGAATTTTCTACACGTACTTAAGAAACACTCTGTATATATATCCTATACATATATACTATATATTATATACTAGCTGCCCGGCAAACGTTGTTTTAACATAAACATTATTTCTAGATAAAAATTTTGTAGATAAATATTTATCATAGAACTTTTATTATTTCATCTCAACTTCTTTCTAGTTCGGATATCCAAAAAGCAGGATAATTTCTTCAAACTTCTCTTTATTTTCTACTTATTTCTTTTTAGTATGGCTATCTATAAAAACGTGTGTCATTAGTTTTTCAAACTATTTATTACAATAGCTGATACCCGGCAAACGCTGTTTTGCTATATACATTAGTATATCGAACTACTATTTTTATTTCCTACTTCTTTTTAGTTCGACAATCTATCTCGTTTTCCAAACTATACTATCAATTTTCTACTTCTATCCAGTTTGGCCTCAAGTTCGGCTATTATATCCATAAAAGCGTGTTTCATTATAGATTTACGAACTACTATTTATTATAGAGCTCTTTCGCCATATCGGATCCGTCATCTTTAATTTCCCAATTTTAAAGAATACAATCATAACAATCATAATGTCCGACCCCGAAAACCCCCAGATACAAATTTTGAATAGAATTAGATCATCGTTACAAAATTCGTTCGCCATATTGGATCTGTCATCTTGGCTTTTCAAATTTTGATGAAAAAATCATTGTCTCCGACTACAAAAACCCCCAGATACCAATTTTGAATAGAGTCTGATAATAATTGAAACACTCGTCCGTCATATTGGATCCGCCATTTTGACGAATAAATCATAAGCTCCGATCCCGAAAACCCCCAGATACCAGATCTGAATTGAATCGGACTATCATTACAAAACTTGTCTGCCATGCATATTGGATCCGCCATCTCTAAATTTCGATCTAAAAAATAGATAACGACCGATTCTCAGACTAACTGAAAATGAATAAAAAATTTCATCAGAATCGGTCAAGCCGTTTTGGAGCAGTATAGGAACGAACATTGTAACACGAGAATTTTATACAGGGTGTCCGGAAATTATGCGCAAAAAATCAAGGTGATGATTCTACATGATGAAATAAGGGATTCAGTTAATATGTACGTGGGTCCAAAAATGCATAGTTATCAACATACAGTGTGTTAAAACTTTCAAAAAACATCGGTTTTTTATGAATATCTCAAATATCCTTCTACCGATTTTCTTGAAATTAGGCAATGATATTTCGTGTCATGAGGGGCTGATATAGCCATAATTCAATCGGAATTTTGAAATCCAGTGGCGTCCCGGAGAGGAACCTACCGAATATTATTGTCAATAAAATGTGCGCCACTAATTTTTTAGAACTTTGTATCTTTATAACCTATTGACCAACTGAAAATACAACATTCAGGTCTCTTGAATTGTTCTGATAAATTGAATTATTTCCATGGAAAAAAATAAATACCACTTTATTGCATCAATTTGTGCCAAAAAATTCCTTAAAAAACTGGGGTGGAAATAAATGCGTGTTCAATGTCCATAGACATAGAATAAGCTACTGTAGAAGTCCATGTTGTCTCAAAGTCGAGTGGAGTAGTTCATATAGGAATATCATCAATCATCAAATCATGAATAGAAAGGGAACATGTTTCGGATTTATAGAGTATCCATCATCAGCCGATTGAGAAAGTTATTCTACAAAGAACAAACCAACAATAATAGGGTATCAATGGTAAAACATGATAGTACTCACGTGGAGCAGAAAAAAATGTTTTTGGAATCACATGAAGTTACAAAAAAATTACAATATAATGAAAATCTTAACTTTTGTTAACAGGTTTTCTAAACAGGGGCCCTGTGCCCCGATGAGACAGTGAAATCGCCAAATTAGGAGGCCCAAAGACATCCAAAAATGAAAATCTTCATCAATAATAGTATTTAAAAAAATTTCTATACATGTAAAATGCAGCATCTGAATTTTCGTCTTGGTCAGCCTTCATTATATGAAGTGGCATCTTGAGTGCAATGATATTTCGATTACCATTGATTAACTGTCCACAAACGCCATGTCACATATTGAAATTAGAACAGGGCCTACTTCATAAAAAATTCATAAGATAGAATCGAGACTAATCATATCTATCTAGAATTTCAATCAAAAACTAACATTTCAAATTATCAAAAAATCAGACCTACTATCTCTTCTGTCAATTTCTATGCAAAAATATACAAAATAGTAATTTACGTAACAAGTCCGGAGAATACTGTTTTTTGGACGAGTATATATAGACAAAATTCCAGGCTGAGCCGTAGGCGAGTCCTAGAAGTCTGTGAGTCCAAAAAAATTGTTTTTGGACGTGTTGCGTGAAAAATTTTTTTGGCAACCATATGTATAATAACAAGTCAATGGGACACATTTCCATATTATATTTCTTTGTGCTACTAACTATTACATTGGAAATTTCGTATGGACATTTCCAAACTCACTATCGCGGCTACTTTCGAAAGTTTATTCCAATAATTGCAACCAAACTTTCAAAAATTCAAATGTCAAGTAATTTCATGTCAAATAGCTGTCAGCCGATATTTCGCTGCTATGGTAATTATCATCTGCATTCATCAAAACCTTATCTACCAAGATTTTTATAGTTACAGTGACAACAACGATGTGATACTTCCCGTCTTAGTCCCGGAAGTACTCACTTCCCGGATTAGGCCGGAAAAATGCTACTTTCACAAAGAATAAGCGTCCGGGAAGTCAACAGTTCACATCACATCCTATTACAATAAAAAATGACATACAAATAGAATACAAATGGAAAACACATCAATTGTTACTGACGAAAAAAACTATGTCAATTGAATGCATCTGATAGGCTGATGGTCCATTATTGTCATTTCGTTGATGACTTTCATGGCATTGTGTGGAACCTAAACATCCTCCATTCATTGTTCAACCAGTACCGTTCCAGTGATCTTTGTGGAATAGACTTTACCCATTGATTTCCCAATGCCGTGAAAATAGTGTAATCTTGATTCACATGAATTCATATCAAAAATATACTATTGTCCAAGCGAAATGAAAGTGCAACATACATCTCATATGGAAAATAGTGCCAGCAGTATGCCATCGATTTAATCAATGAGCCATTGAATCGCCAGCTCTGTTGTGTTTGTTGGGTTATGTGTAGAATAGAATTTGGATACGGAGAGCATCTCAATATCTTTCATCGTTTTGAGTAAAAAAAGAAAATTACATTATTATTATATATTCTGGCAAGGAAAATGGATTAATAAAAATCATCTTCGAAATTGAAATATATCATTTCAAACGTTTCGTATTTTTTTTGTCTTGGTTGTATGTATTGAACTATCAAACTACCTGAGCTCATTTCGTATTTCCAGCACCAGAACCATTCTTTGTTCATCAACCGATTGTGTCTGACATCACATTTTCTTCGACCCAAGTGAAAATGGAAAATTTCGAAGTGGTAGGATATGATGACAGGTATCCTTCCTATTTTTTTCAGTACATCGAAGACCCTAATCAATCTCCGAATGAGGAGCAAAGCTCATCTAAGGTATATCGCGCAGAAAATCTTCAGTTAATCGAGTTAATGAGAGACATGTTTATTCAGAAGTTTAGGAATCAATCGTTTTTTTGCAGAATGATCAGAATTCGTGGATTCGTGTTGGTGATGAGTTCACCATCAACGAAACAAAATTCGTTTTGATAAAAAATTTGAAACCAGATACATATTACAGAGTGAGAGCCGTGATGAATATCAATAAAAATGGTAGAAAATTGAAAGAAGATAAGGATTTCGTGAAGTCTACCAGATGGAAAACTTCTTGCAATGGTGAGTGAAAATTAGAAACGCGGCCAATTTGATACATCATTGAAATCGAAACAGTGGTGTAGCTTTTGTAGATATTTCAAATCTGTTCTGTTATGAAAAATTAGTTCATTTCAAAATAATTCAATAAAATTCATTCCTCATTATGATGATTATGAAACAGATCATTATGAAATAGATTCAATATAATAAGCCTATAATAGATAAATGAATCAATTATACCGGGTGTAACAGGATCATGGTGCACCCCCATTATCTCCTTTAGTTTTGGAGATAAGTGAAAATTTGGAATAACCCATCAATTTGATTAATGTCATGTTTTGACATGAATATGTTTTATTTTCCATTTCTGATTTCACCGGTAATGATTTTACCGTTTGATTTTCGATTGGAACATTCTGTATATCATTGCATTTTTGAATTCTGATTCAAATGATACCATATAATAATTGGCATTTAAAACTTCAATATTGATTTCAACTCCATTTCTGATTCTCCATCTGAGTGTGCCTTTACTTTTCTGATCGAGTCTGGTGTACTCAAATCGAAAGGTGTAGTGCTGAGAAAAATTGGATCCTGGCAAAAAAGTTCCCGATTTATCCTCGGATTCATCGCCAAATTGAGTTCATCAAAATGGTTTGGTAAACTACGAGGTAAACTATGATCCTGTTACACCCAGTAAAAGATACAATATTTCATATGAATGAGCATATTTTCATTAATTATTAATTTTTTTAGAAATAAGTGATTCCGACATCAAAATTGAACCTCATAATATCACTGCATCAGTAACTGTGCAGGTAAGTTTTGGGACATTCGAAGAAACACATACAGACGCGGTATTTTTCTAGAAAAAAGTTGATAGTTGTAGACTGAATAACTATCATTATGAAATAGAAAATCATCAGGAAATGTTTGTCGAAGAATTGTTCATCATAACGTCATTAGAGCCCTATAAAGAGTACAGTCTAACAATCAAGAATCGGATGAATGGAAAAACATTCTCAATTCGTTTCAAAACTCGCGAAGGAGGTGAGTTATTTTTTTTTTCTCTTCTGAACAATTCAATTGTTTTTTTTTTCTATTGACAATGTTACTAATGAATCATCAACCAACGATATATTATGAGATTTTGCATCACAACCAATCAACGCAGTTCAAATTCAAAACAAATGAAACAAATAGTCTATGTATACATTGTGCCCACTGTAATTCGATATAAACTGATTGACAAATGAAATGGTCCACTTCTGAATATTTCACACAATTTTGAAATACAATATTATTAAGAATACTAGTGCGTTTCTGAGAAGGTTTGTTCCATGTTGTGTAATAATCGTTCGAGAATTAGATGGTTCCCAGTAAACCCATACTCGTTAATAAAACCTTGAATCACGGTTGGAGTTGTGGAAATGAAGATGCTGGTTGAAAACTTCAATAAGTAGATGATAACACGTTTGCGTACTGGTTAAAAAAATTTTACCGACCGTTGTAGACATTTTACTACGTTATTTCGACGTAAGTGTGTTTACTGGGTTTACCTACTCTGGCCATGATGTGTGTTTTCAGATTCACACGTAGAAACATAGACCCATTATAATATAATATATATAATAATATAACGGAGAGCCTGGTCGATTCATATACCTTGAACCCTTGGACGATAATTAAGTTTTCTACAGGGTCGGTCATGAAAACATATATCACAAAACTGCAACTGTGTCGGAGCAAATATTGTCGAAAGTATGTATTCTATGAATTGATATCCAGTCACGTATTTTTCAATATTCTCCTTATTCCCCCAGACACATAAAAAATCACTAGATGTGCATTTCAGTAAGTACGACTAGGAAAACTCAGTGTGCCACGTCTGATTCTGCCGCAACCCATGGCACAGTGGCGCTACAGGGGTATAGCAATAACGCGTCAACTACCTTTTCACCCCAGAAAAAAAAAAACTCATAAAAAAATTGTAGATGAGCACTAGATGAACACAAAAAAACAACTGTTCCTTCCATGATGCCGGAAATCCCTGGTACAGTGGGGCGAATCAACAAGTGTTCGAGACAATCACTTAGCCTCTATTTTTCCTCAGAAATCGAATCGTTCATCATGTCGCGGTTTTATTCGATGGAGTTACAACTATCAAAAGTGGATAATCACAAGATCAGACTAACTCACCTGAGTGAAGTTCGATATTGATTATCTTCGTTCGAAGAGATCACAAGTGTAGTACCCCAACTTCGCACCAGGTGGCGTCACAAATTTCGAAGCATCTAAAACTTTTCTCCCATCTCTAGATGCTCTCTGCCCTACCGATCTTCGTCTCGGATCTAGTCATTCTTTAAAGCACATTGTCACAACACATTATCGGGTATTTGGGATTATATTCCGAGCCTTCTTGTTTGGCCCTGTGACCTTCGAAATGAATATATTTTCTGTCCGCCTCGACGAGGAGGTACAGTAACTTGTCGGGACGTACCCTTGAAGTCTTAATGTTTTCAAATAGGATTTGTTGAACCTTTTGATGTGCTCAGCATCATTTCTCAACTCTATAAACTGTAGGTTAATATCCCCCCCCCCCAATCTTTCACTATTTACTAATCAACATATATAGTGAGTAACTGGACTATAATAGCATTCATATTTATACTTATCTGATTCGATTTTATATGCCAGTGACACGTTCATCTTGCCTCACTACTAACAAATTCAAGGAGGCCTTTACTGGATTATTCCGTTTCGGAGTTCGATCAACTGCCTGACTGTTGGAAACAACAGGGTATTTTCGGCAGACTAGATCCAGCCTCACGTTCAAAACTATTCTTCAGAATGGACGCGTCTACCCTTTCAGTATGTTCTAAAGTATGTCCAACCTTATTTATTGTTGATTCCTCTTTCCCAATACTTGATGAACATTTGTTGGTAACATAAGGATTTATTTTGTAATAAGAGGGTTGATATTTTTTTCATTGCCCCTTGTATCTTGCTTGCACTAAGATGTCTGGCAATGAAGAATCAAGAAAAATAAAAGAAGATATTGTCAACTGTCAACAATGTTTTTCTGTTCCTTCATTGTCAAATGCTGACTAAGTGAATATATTCATTAAATTTGTGATGTTCACTTGGTTAAAAATATATCACCACATCGGTTGAAGACTTCAAACTTTCAAAAATATATCCATTTAATTACATTATCAATATCCACTCTGGTTTAGTATGAAAAAGGTATCAACATTATTATAAATATCATTTCCTGCTAAAGAATACTAAGGATTATCTTTATAAAGCTACTTGTCTTGTACAATCATTCTTCATTATCGACCTCTCTTGTCATGTCATGTCGACTCTAGGTTATGTCAACTGACATCCGTCAGTCCCTTGTCAAGTGTCATAAGTTACCAACTATATGTAACAGTATGTTTGTTTGATAAAACTGGAAAAACAGTTTGAGATATCAAATTCCGTCAAATATTTCTATCTAATTACTATAATTACAAACTCTGGTTTAGTATAAAGGAGCATTAAAAGTTCATATTCCTTGCTATACTTTGTCTGATGAAACAGTTCTGGATGTCAAACTCTGAAAAATTTCTCTGGTTGAGTATGAAAAGATATCAGATTATACAGTGTGACCCAGTTTTGATGGAAACATCCCTGTATCTTACGTAATCGTTGTGTAAGGATATTGAAATTTGCTGGAGCGAGAGATATACCAAAAATGCACTCTATGACCAAGTGGGGTCATCTTCAATGATAAACACTGCTCGTCAACAGCGATGGAACCACCCCAATTTCCGGAAAATGATATTAGGAGTCAAAATAAGTTGAAAATCACTTCAGATTCGGAATCAGGACGCCAAATTCACTAACTATGCATAGTTTTCCTAGAAACTTTTCAATTCAGAAGAATTACATTTTTTCTCACTTCTCATGGAAGCATCCCCGTATCCTACGTAATTATTGTGGTTGTGTTTTGAAATTTGCAGGAGGAAGGGAAAGTACGGAGATGAAGTCAATTAAGTAGGATACGGAGGTGCTTCCGTAAAAAGTGCGGCAAAATTCAATTTAACAGAACTGAAAACTTTCCAGGAAAAATATGAATTTTTCAAAAATTGGAGTGATTTCATAGCTGTTGGCAAGCAGTGTATATCACTGAAGATGACCCAACTTGGTCATAGAGTGCATTTTCGCTATATCTCTGGCTCTAGCAAATTTAAGGATCCTTACCCAACGATTACGAAAGATACAGGGGTGATTCCATTAGAAGTGGATCACACTGTATATTCACTGGTATACTTTGTTAGAACAGTTCGAAATGGCAATCTCTGACAAATATTGTTATCTCATTACCAATTCTGACTGAGTATGAGAAGATATCATGGTAAATATATCCTGGTATACTTAGTTTGGTAGAACATCAGTTCGAAACGTCAAACTCTGACAATTCACCTATCCAATTTCCAACTTCGGTTTGGTATCAACAATTTCATATTAGAGAGTTAAAGTGCTGCCATTGACGTTAACGTAAACGTGAGAAGTGGGTGAGTAGTGGCCTCATGGGTGTACGTTATCTCACGCCGTACTTTCAGGTATACCTTGAATATCAACGTATGTTAACCAAACTATATACTCAAAATATGCCGATGACTCAAAATTATCAAATACTGGATCCCCAAGGAGTTTTGCAACAAGAAGCCCTCTCATTTTAACAAGAATAAATGATCAGATATAAACAAACATTCAAAAATGACAAGTGCGGAAAGTGATTTTTTCCCGCACGTGACTGCCGTTGACACGAACGACGCGAAGCGGAGTTCGGGCAAGCAGTCGAGTGCGGGAAAGACACTTTCCGTATGAGTTAGGAACAATATTTTTTCTACAAGCGTAGGAAATTGATTGAATCGTTCAATTTCCATCGTTCCATTAATTATTCAAGCAAATAGGAACAACTAACAAGAGATCTATCTATTAATTATTAGTAATAGCTACTGTGAACTTACAGTTGACGCATTATGTTGGTTCATTGCGGAAGCCAGCAGGCCCATTAGGAGTCTGGTCTCTAGATTCCAGACACTTCTATGGAATGAGCCAAAAATACCTATTCTTCATTCGGTTTTTTCATTTCTTTATTGTTGCACCATTCAATTAAACGCGTGTATAGCTTCTCATACCATTCTTAAGACTTCGTTGGTGATATTAACGCATCTGTATCAAATCCCTATTGCTAGAAGTTTTTGATCACATTGTGGCATTTCCACTGAATCGAAAATGACAGTAACGCTGTGTCTGTCACTTCGACAATTTCAAACTTATTTGAGGTTTGATTGACATGACAAATTGACGTTCCCGTCAGATCAATCCAAATCTATAGGGGGATTTTTATAATAATCCATTTTTATTTCTCAATATTTCTTAATTTTTACAATAAATAGTGCAATTAGATGGATGATTCTGAACATACATGCTTAATACTGCAACAAACAATCTTAAACTTTTATATTCCATCACCAACCACTTATATTACTAGCGATTATATCATATCTTTGTTTTCCCGCACTAGTGCGGGAAAAAAATTCCCGCACTAGTGTGGGAAAATTTTCCCGTACTGTTGCGGGAAAATGACACTTCCCAAACTAAATTGCGTGCGGGTATAGGGTGAATCACGCACGCTTGTAGAAAAAATATATTACCACGTTACGATGACAGTGACGACCAAAGTGACGACTTCAACCCAGTTTAAAGATAATTCGTGAATGTTTTTTTTTCGTACGTTGATGTCTACGTGGAGGTCTACGTA